TCAGTGAAAAACTTCTCCAATTGTCATCTGGTCTGGCCTACACATGACTCCAGGCCCAAAGTAATAGGTTGACTTAGAAATGGACTAGCAATCAAGGGCTACAATTGATGGACAACAAATTCGCTTGCCAGTGACACCTACATCCCCTAAAATAATAAAACCAAAAACACTGTAACAATCATACTGCAATCATAATATGATTTTTTTGTACAGTTGGTCATCACTCTCACATAAACTAGAAACAAAAGTGTGACTAAAAATGCAACAGTTATGTGCAGACTCATATAAATCTTTAGCAACCAGCAGAACAACTCTCAATGGAGATCACCTGACTATCAAGTGACCAAACGAGAATAAGATTGTTACATTCTGTTGAGCAGCATGACTGCATTCGTATTGCTCATTAGAGTAAACAAACTGTATGCAACATCCTTGAAAACCGAGGACATCATAGAATTTTGTGCTGTGTAGTCACAACTATTTCTCTGCATTCAGAGAAATGGAAACACCTGCTGGTTTTGCACAATGTTGAATTAATCACCTCACGAATGAATTTGGACAAGGTTCCTTGACCGGCACTTCTGCTATTTCCATTTGCTGCCTCGAACAATTCAGTGGTACAAAAATAGTAGATGACTAATATCACTTCAACAGCTGCAACCAAGAGTGGTTGGAGTCCCTTTAAACTGGAACCCAGTATCGAACGATCGTCTGCAATTACTGTCCCAGAGAACTAATGCTTTCTGGTACTGTTAAAGTAAGAAAAAAAATAAAGAAAGCATCAATCATTCATTCAACAATCTTTCATGAGGGGCAGGAAAGGTCTTTTCCTTTCTACCTTCTCTGTAGCTGTCCACTTCTCTTGCCCTTTTGCCTTGGAAGTCACTCAGCAGGTTAGCAAATGTTTTGTGCAAATATTTTCATCTGACATTGATAGGAGTTAGTCAAAGAGTGAGCCACTCACTGGGTGTTGGGACAAAGCTTAGGATATGCAGCATTGCTTCAACTAAGTGAATGGGCCATTCTCCCATCATTATCTATAGAGGTAAGTGATTCTTGCTTTTTGTTTTAATGTTGACTAATGTTTATTATTAAACACTCTTAAGAGCAGCTGCATGTACTCTGGGTTGATACCAGAGTAAGTAATAGAGAAATTTTAAAGCCCGGGGCTTTTCCAGTTAAAGTAAAAATTGTGGAACTATTGCTCACACAGATACATTCAGCTTTTATTCCATACCAAGAGATTGAATTTATTTGGAGCTCAATGATATGAAAGTCTGCATTGGACAACAATATACTTTATTTTTTCAACTAACCTGTTTGGAGCTGTTAGAGCACATCTCTGGATCTGGACAGATTTGAACTCAGGCCGTTTGGGTCAGAGGTAGAGACAGTACCACTCGTCCACAAGACCCCCACAATACCTACTGTTAGGTAGGCAAAAGTAGCCTGATTGCCCTGCATTGCATTTAATTGATGATATATTTCTTTATGTGTACAACAGTGTAGCACCCCTACCACTAAACTACACACATTAATTATCTAACAGAATCATGGAATCCCTACAATGTGGAAGCAGGACATTTGACCCATCAAGTCCACACCAACCCTCCGAAGAGCATCCTACCCAGACCCACTCACCACCCTATCTCTGCATTTCACACCCTAGACACCAGGGGCAATTTAGCATGGCCAATCCACCTAAACTGCACATCTTTGGACTGTGGGAGGAAACCAGAGCACCTGGAGGAAACCCACGCAGACATGGGGAGAATGTGCCAACTCCACACAGACAGTAGCCCATGGGTGGAATCGAAGCCAGGCCCCTGGTGCTATGAGGCAGCAGTGCTAACCACTGTGCCACCGTGCCACTCTATCTGTCACATCATGCTTAAATCAACCACCACATCATAAAAGCTGCAGCAGTGAAGCCCAAGCTGAGGGAGCAAGTGTGGAACATCAGCAACCTGACTCAGAGTTCCAAACAGTGAGTCTATCAAACTTACATCCTCAGCACATTTACTACAGCAGCGAGATCCAGATGGCGTGTTGCGTCGGAGAAAAGTTGAACAGTCTCCACTTTAACTGTGTTAGACATCTTCAAATCTTGATGGGGAAAGAACATCAATTCGGAGTTTCTGGAGCATGCCAGTTCCATCAGTGTATATACTTCAACAACAGCTGCTCTGCTCAGGCATCCTCATTGGTTATACATCCAACTAAAGACCTTCCTTACGATGCACTGGCAACTCAACTAGGACTTGCTGGGCGTTTGTATCTCTGCTGTATGGATATTTGATAATGACATCAAAAGATCGTGGATATTGACACAGACAACTGAGAGATAATCACTGACACCTGTGGCCACCAGAAGGATGACTGTTTAGAGGAGAATGAGACAAGGCAAGGCAAAACAGAGAACTAGTCACTTAGAAGACGGCCCAGAGAAAACAGGGGTCGGTGAATTGTGTGCCTTCCTCTGTAGCAAATGCAGTAAAAACTGCCATGTCATGCTGAGGTTCCTGAGCCATACCACATGAGGCTTGATACAAGAGTGAACCACTAAAGTACAAACCATTGTCTTGTGAGATGGAAATCTGCCAGAGAATGGCACAAATGTATTTGAGGGAAGATAGATAAGCACATCAGGAGGGAAGAATAGAAGGATATGTTGATGAGAAAATGCGAGGGGGAAGGCTAACCAACACTGGTTGAGATCAATTGGACTGAATGGCCTGTTTCTGTATCATAGGATCACAAAGAATCTATCTTAATCGAATTTGAATGTACAAAAGCAGTCATAAATCTAAATTGCTATGCAGACCAAACCAAAATCTTCAAACTGATTATTTTCCTTTCTACATAAACCTGTTGCTGCCACCTCCACCACCCGCCCGCCCCAAATCTTTAGGGGTAGAAAAAAAATCATAACATTTGGTAAGGTTATATTAAAAATTCAGGAATTCTTGATTAGCTAGTTAAGTCCAACCTATTTTCAAACATGGATGAACTGCAAAGGTGAGGAAGGATGAATTATATGTTAGTCACATGACATATAATTAATATGGCACCGGAGGAGATGGGAGTGGCAGCAGCTTTAAACATGAAATATAAACAATGTATGTGTACGGGATTGTGAGAGAATAAAAATTGATTTTTTTTAAATACATGTGGAACAGAGACCAGAAAGAGTGGGACAGAGCCAGGCAGAGTATCAGACAGAATTTTGTTTAGTCAATTTAAGACAGAGTCTCTCTCTGGTGTTGTTTGAATAAATGAAAAGTTAACAAGCATACCCAAGCCGTCTTGTGGTCTGTGTAAGAGATTAACCACAACAACTGGTTGGTACAAGCAAACAACGAGGTTATTCGGAACCAAGACCTTACTGGAGATGTAGCTTGGAAAGAGCACTTACAAAGAATATGGTACAGAAGAGACTGGGAGACATAGTGGATAATCAATTTATGAAGAATATACATTGATAAATATACCTTTGATCTGGGTATGAGTACTGCGCATGCGCTATAGGATCTATAACACTATATCATCAGATCACATGGAACTGGAGCCTGTCTATACACCTCCAAGTAAGATGCCATCACTTACCAGCCCCTGTATATAGTAGGTTGAATAAAATCTGGGGTGCTGTACACTCACAAAAGTGTAAATGTCACATTACAACAAAGAGCAGTTGAGAAACTGAGAGGAATCATTGACATAAAATACAACATAATGCCCCAGATGGAAATAGCATGTTTGTCTACAAAGGTATGGGTGAGGATTTTATAAAACAGGCATAGGTACTATCTTTACTATCAAAAAATATGAGTCAATCTTGGAAAGTGTACGAGGTAGAGTCAATCAGTGTGAAGATTAACATGATAAATAATACAAGGAAATGATGTGATAGATTAATATGATAAATAATATTAAATAATATGAGGAATACCCAAATGATCTAATTAATCTGAACTGCACAAGAATGTGGAGAGTTGCAATTCCAGAGGAGCCATTCAATGAACCTTCAGATGTGACATGGTCAATAAATGCACTATTCTGCCCTGTGGATTTGTGCTGGTGATGATTCTCTGCAAGAAAGCTGCAAAACAGGGTTGGAATTATGAAAAAGAAGGAGATAGGAAGACAGTAATAGAAGCAAAGGATAATATTGTGCCTTCAGCATGATGGTGGGAACAACTGAGTGTCTCATTGCATGAATATCATTTTGTGTGCCCTGAGGGAGAAAATATAAAAAGACAGGCAAAATCACC